AGAAAGAAAGAAAGAAAGAAAGAAAGAAAGAGAGGGAAGGAGAAAGAGAGAAAGAAAGAGGGAAGGAGAGAGAGGGAAGGAGAGAGTGGGGGAGAAGAGAGGGAAGGAGAGAGCGCTCTCTCTTTCCTCCGACGGAGCCAGCTGCCGCTCGCGACTGGGCCACGCCGGGTGCGCCCTTCCCCACGCCCACTCTCCCCTCCCTTCCCCTTGCCGGGAGCTGACACTGTGATGTATTCAGCAGCACAGCCAGCTCACTGTCTCCCTGTGTGTGCGAGCCTGTGCAAGTGTGTGTGAGCGGGCGGGCGGGCGTGCGTGTGCCTGTGTGTCTGCCTGTGCGCCTCTCTGTGTGTGTGTGTGAGAGAGAGAGAGAGAGAGAGGGAGAGAAAGCGAGCGGGCGTGCGGGCGCCTATGTGCCTCCATCTCCTCTGGCTGACTCCGAGAAGCAGCGGTGGCAGCCGACGGGGCTCGGGACCATGCAGCTGCCCCAGCTCGTGGTCCCCCCTCCCAGCCGGGTCCCCCTTGTGTGGATGCCCGCCGGCTCCAACTTCCTCTGTGTCGAGGTAGGCTGAGGCTTTTGTGGCTTCCCCCTTCCCTCCGCCTTTGTCTGTCTCGGTTGTGGCCTTTGTCTGGAATCGGAAGGCGAGCCCAGCCAAGCCAAGCCAAGCCAATCCGACTTTCCTTCCTTCCTTCCTTCCTTCCTTCCTTTCCTTTCCTTTCCTTTCCTTCCTTCCTTCCTTCCTTCCTTCCCTTTCCTTTCCTTCCTTCCTTCCTTCCTTCCTTCCTTCCTCCCTTCCCCATTGCTCTCCTCTCTGCTGTTGGAGCCGCCTGCCCTTCGCCTGGCATCGGGAGGGGACCTGCCAGGTGGCACTGCCCCTCTGGAGAGAACCCTGTCCAATGGGGGCGAGAACCACCCTGTCACGGGAGGGTGATGGGTGGAGGTTCCCACGAAAGGGAGAAAGATTGGGGACCCGACCCATCCTGGCACATCGGCTGATTTGGGGGGGCGGGAGGAGGGGATGTTTTCTCTGGGGAAGGAGGATGCTAGCTGGTATTGCCACCCCCTCCCCCTTCCGGGAGGGAGGGAAGGAGGGGGAGTTGTATTGTGGGCCACATGTCTCCCTGTGTCCGTCTCCCCCATGAGAAGCGATGGATGTTTTGAATGCATGCTGGATTTGCCACTGAGTATTTTCTGCCCAGAGGTGGAGCTCCGGGCAGGTGTAGACGGTGACAGCAGCTGGGGGAGGGATGTGTGTGTGTGTATATATATATATATATAGTGTGGGCAAGCAAGAAGGGTCCTTGGGCTTGGCTGGCCAGGACTGGCATGAGGGGACAAGCCCCTTCCTGGGTGGGTGTGGCTGAGGCCCGGTCTATCTCCCTCCCCCCCCCAGTTAAAATGGAGGTGCTGGGAGTTGAGATGGTTGAACAGAACTGCCACTCTGAAAACCAGTCTGAAAACAACTCCTCCTCCTCCTCGTCAGCTGGCATCTGCCAGCCCCATCCCCTGCCTGTTCCACGGGGAGGAAAGAGATGGGAGCTGGAAGGAAGGGCTGACTGAGGCTGGAAGGAAAATGCCAGGCAGGAAGTGGGGTGCGCCAGGACAGGAAATCCCTCCCAAGCATCTCATCCATAGCAGTAGGGTGGGATCAGAAGAAGAAGAGTTGGGGACAGGGACAACTTTGGGGCTGTGTGATAGCAAGGAAGAGTAGGGGAAGGAATTAATTTTCCATGGTGGAATTCTCCCTTCCTTCCTTCCTTCCTTCCTTCCTTCCTTCCTTCCTTCCTTCCTTCCTTCCTTCCTTCCTTCCTTCCTTCCTTCCTTCCTTCCTTCCATGTCTTCGGTTTCAACCCCGAAGTCACTCCTTTTCTCTCATCCTCTTAACTTCCATCCAGGCTGGAGCCAACCTGTGTTACCCCTCACCCATCCCCACGAAATTCATAATAATAAAAAGACCAGGAAGATTGAATAGCCTGCTTCCCGTTTTGTTTTTAACCTCCCTTCATTGTTGAAGTAAACCCCAAGGTTTATACATCTTTATACGTCTCCGTTGAGTTTGTACGAAATACTAAACGTAACTGGCTAACGTGAGGTTGGGTAGATGGTGCTTCAGAGTCTTTGGTGCCAATTTTGGCGGGTGGCCTGAAAAAAAAGGGGGTCTTTATGCTGAGCTATAATATGATTTATTCATCTGGACACCTCATATCCTACGAAGACAGTGACTGTCTTTAGAAATTGCAGTCTTTGTGCGAACCGGGCTATAAATATAAATAACAGGTAGTCCTTGACGTACAACCCTTATTGAGCCCAAAATTTCTGTGGCTAAACCAGACATTTGTTAAGTGGATTTTGCCCTATTTTACGACTTTTCTTTCCATTGTTGTTAAATGAATCACCGCAGTTGTTAAGTTGGTAACCTGGTCGTGAAGTGACTCTGGCTTCCCCATTGATTGTGTTTGTCAAAAGATCGCAAAAGGGGATCACGTGACCCCAGGGGATGCTGCAACCGTCATAAACATGAGTCAGCTGACAAGCGTCTGAATTTTGATCACGAGACCCTGGGGATGCTGTAACCGTCGCAAGTGTGAAAAAGGGTCCTAAGTCCCTTTTTTCAGGGCCATTGTAACTTTGAAGCGTCGCTAAACGAACGGCTGTAACTCAGAGGGAGTACCTGTAGGTTGTGTTCATGCGTATTGGTTTTGACGAATTTTCTGGCGTCCCTCTGGTGCGTGATTTATGTGCTTATAAGAAACCACACAAGATATTCCAGCTGTCATTTGTATTGGCGGTCCCTATTACTACTCTATCGATCTGAAAACTGCTTGTGTTCATTTGTCCAAATATTGGCCAGAAAAGCAATGCCCTGTGTAGCTATTCCTCATAAACAACGACATTACTTTGTCCCTAACCTTGTGAGGCTTTGATATAAAATTGGCACCAGGTTCCACAAACGATAGCTTCTTTTTACTGATCCTCACATCAGATCTTAGGTCGGTCTGTCCTAGACAACACTTTTCTCGTGCGCGTTGTGATGAACCATCTTTGAGTACAGCGGCTTCTACGTGGCACTTGGCTCTCTTCTAATCACTGCCAAAGCTTGCTGGAAGATTAGAAGGCCACTTCCAAGACCTTCTGATCAGGTAGGTCAGCTGAGAAAGGAAGAGTTCAGGTGGCCTTTAGAGCAGTGGTTCTCAACCTTTTTAATACCGTGACCCCCAACCGGTCGTAAGTCGAGGACTAAACCGGTCGTAAGTCGAGGACTAAACCGGTCGTAAGTCGAGGACTACCCAACCGGTCGTAAGTCGAGGACTTTCCCTGCCCGGGACCGCCGCGCATGCATGGTTCCGCCCCCTGCGCCAGCCGAGGCGTAGCTGGCAAGCAGCAGAGACGGAGCAGGCCGACCACCAGCTGGCCCAGCCCAAGGGAGGTAAGGCACCCGTCGGAAAAGGGGAAAAAAAGTGGTGGACAGCCTTGCTTGGCAACCCCGTGAAATGGTCGATCGACCCCAAATGGGGTCGCGACCCATAGGTTGAGAACCGCTGCTTTAGAGAGATGCGAGATTCAGAAATGGGATTGGGTGGGTCAAAGAAGCAACTTTTATATATAACTCAGCTTCATAGAAATATAGGGAATAACTGTTTCTGAAGGCTCCTTGGTGCTCTCTGAGCTTGGTTCAACCAACCAAGCTCAAGACAGCACCAAGCACCCCTCCTTTCAACCTTGAGCTACAAATATTCTCCTTTATTGATGATAATGTTTGTTTGTTTTCTTTCTTGGTTAGTGTGGACGATCTTTTCTGTTTTATGTGCAAAGTAAATCCATCCCAGACATTTAGCCTTGAGAAATATGTAAATAATGCCTTTTGTACAAAGCAAACCATATAACGTAAATTCCCAGAGACAATGGGGCTGGATATTCTTCTAACCAATGGAAGGCTGGAGTTCATAAAATATGGAATTAGCCTATCCAGCTTTCCTTGTGTCCTTAAACTTTCCCTTGCCTCTGGAGATGTCAGAGAAAAATGGCGTAGGAAAGGGAAAGGATGATCTTCATCAACATCTTCTCATCTGCTCAGTCTCTATCATCACAACTCATTATGTCTCCTAGATGAGACTGCCTAGATGAGCCAGGGGTCTGCAGAAGAACATCTGGAGATAAGACGTCATGTCCATCACATTTGGACCTTCTAGATAAGAGACATAGGAGTAGGATTTGGAGGGCCAAAAATGAAAAGACCAGATCCATCACATCTTCATTATGGATTTTCTCCAGAAAGAAACACAGTGGTAGAATAAGTCGTGGGGAAAGGGCTGAAGTGACAAATGGAGGGTGACGATGCCTTGACTTCCTGTAAAATAGGATGAAGAAACATCTGGGTCTGTAAGCAACCATTGCTCTTCTAGTCTAATTCCATCTGGCTGAAGAACAGGCGAGTTTTGCATTTCGGCAGGCCAGCTCAGATGCAGAAATTCAAGATGGGCGATTCCAAATTGCTGGCATTGCATCTGAGAAGAACCTTGAGGCTTTGGTTGACTGCAAGCTAAGTATGAGTCAGCAGTGTGAGGCAGTGATTTAAAAAGGCAGTGGAACCGAGAATGGGTAGTGCTTCTTCTAGTTTGGTCAAATTCCCCCTAGATAGTTGTATCCAGATTTGGGCACTGGACTAACAGGAATATTGACAGATGAATTGAGCCAGGAATAGGTGGTGTGATACTGGTTGTAGAACCTGACATATGAGCAGAAAGATGGTGCTTGGAGGTGAGCTAAGCTGGGGTGCAAGAAACTGGGCCAGTCAGCATCTAGTGATGGGTCAGGTGTCTCCAGAGGAGGCTGTGGATATCAATGGTAGAGATGCATAAATGCTGATGTTCTCTTAAGGCAGTGCTTTTTGAAGTCAGCTAAACTTCACAGATATAAGTACTAGTGTACTAAGTGATCGTAGAGTGAGGTTCCAGTTATTCAAACTATGAAATTTCCTGCAGCAAACATCTGATAAAGGCCCAGATCAAAGCTGTGTATGTGAAAATGCACCCTTGAGGATAACTTGCCTAGTGTTGACTTCTGATCTCAGAATGTGCACCGTATGTATATGTGTGTGCTTTGCCGGGAAGAACACAAACATTGGTCAGACCAAAACTTTTGCCTGGTTCATACCACACATTCAGCCATAGTGTAGGACATTAGTGGTTTGAAATTCACAGGTGTTGGTTGAACCAAGTCAGTTGTGGTTGAATCAGTCCATGGTTTAGTGTACTATATAATGCCATCCATCACTCTCAGATGATAGATATGGACAAAGAACAATAGAACAAGTCAGTAGAGTCTTCTTCTCCATCCTGAATCTTGGAAGGACTACAATTTCCATAAATCTCAGACATCTGATTCAATTTGCCAGGATGAGTCTGTCCATATTCACTTATGGGAATAATAATAACAACAATAACAATAACAACAACAACAACAACAACAATAATAATAACAACAATAATAACAACAATAATAACAATAATAATAATAGCAGTAAATTTCTCCCTCATGCGTAGAAGAGGTGAGAACTAACAG